AGATAGATAGATAGATAGATAGATAGATAGATAGATAGCCGATATTGAAGAGATTTCCTGGCAGGGAGTGTGACTTCCATCTAATGTTACTCCTTTCGGACAAAGACCTGGAAATATCTTCCCAAGTTGCCTGGTTTTGTGCTACCATCTGTATAACATGCTCCCCCATTATTTAGAGTTAAAATTCCACAACATAGAATCTTACTTTGATACATTTTAGCACTGTTATTTTAATGACTGGATTAAATAATATTAATTGTTTTGTTTTATAGATATATATATATATAAATGTAAGATGGTTGTTATTGTATACTTTGATTGTATCTGGCCTTAGGGCTGTAATAAACGTGTGTGTGTGCCTCTTTCATCCTTGGTCACACAACATAGAATCTTACTTTGATACATTTTAGCACTGTTATTTTAATGACTGGATTAAATAATATTAATTGTTTTGTTTTATAGATATATATATATATAAATGTAAGATGGTTGTTATTGTATACTTTGATTGTATCTGGCCTTAGGGCTGTAATAAACGTGTGTGTGTGCCTCTTTCATCCTTGGTCACTTCTGCTCCATCAAGGTTTGAATCTGAGGAGACCCCTCTACAGCCTATGGAGACATTGTGGAAAAGAGGTTGCAAGATAGGAAGGGCCAGTGTGAATTTCTCACCCCCCAGGACAATAGAAAGAAGCTAAAGTGCTGGATCCTTCATTCCTCTGTTGGAAAACCCAGATTGGAGCTGCAAACCTCAGGATGACCACTAGAGGGCCATGCAGTACAGAAAACTCTGCTGCCATCTAGTGGTCATATCGGTTTTTGCCATGCAAGGAACCATTCAATTCTCCTTTACGGATTTCTCAGCGGGACCATGCCAAAAGAGAGGAAGAGAACAGAACAAGTTGCTATTTCTGCAGAGAACTGGTTTCCTTGGCTCTGCCTGTCATGCTCTCTACCTGCACAATTTCAGACAGCATCTCTTGCCAGAGTAGTAACTGCAACTTTAAAGACCGGAGCTTAGATTTGTTTTTATTTTCACCCACCCCATCCTTTTCCCCTTCCGCATCGTGACTTTTAGACTGCAAACGGACCAATAAATCACAGAGTTTTGAAGGTTGGTCCGAGGGCTGGTTTTGGCTAAAGGACAAGATAAACACCGTTTAAAAAAAAAAGAATGGATAATCGCAAACATTGGAGATATTCTCCGATGAGAACGTTTTCACTGGATTTGCTACTCTGTGGATCTGTTGGATTTTGCATCTGCTCCTTTTTTTTT